CTGATACCACTGGATACTAAAGAGAATATACAAACAGTAACAGGAATATCTGATTATAGGAAATCAAGTCAATTAGTGTCTGTGATACAACGACAGTTTGAATCCTCTCTTAATCCAGAGCAGTATCTTATTGATATATGTCATGTATTAATAAACCAACAACATCGTACACTAACAGATATTGCTACCTCTATATTACACCAGTTAGGTGAGTGTGTGTGTGTGTACATTATCAGTGATCAATATAGTCATTATATCTCAATACATTAGGTCAGTCTATACCTGATAATGTCAGTTCACATACTGTACTACCATCACCAGTTGATGATATATCCAATACACCAGTTACTAATATAAGAGGTAATAAATTATTTAATGTGTATACATTGTTTTTATGTAGTTGTACATGTAGGTGCTACAGCTGCTACTGGTAATGTCACTAGCACAAGTATATTTGAAAAATTTTTTGACAAAATACGAACTACTTTTGGATGGCTACCTTATTGTGTTCAAGGATATGCTGACAATATGAGACAACACTACAAACACCAACCTATTGTTGCTACAGACTGGCCACCAAGAATTGGAAAAGATTTCTTTGGAAGACTAGCACTAGTAGAAAAACAAGACTCCACCACACAAACAGACTCAGCTTGGCATCTGCTAAGAGGACAAGTTGATAAAACAGTTAAACTAACTGAAAACAAAGAGATAAGTGTTGAAGATGTCCTCCAACCCACAGATAGTTCTCTGTCTCTCAGAGTAGTAATAGACGGTCCTCCTGGTATTGGCAAGACCACACTCTGTCATAAACTGTTAAATATGTGGTCTAATGGACCACTTGTACACCAACAGTATGACTTGGTACTTTACTGTCCTTTAAGGAATAGCAAGATAGCTACAGCTACTACACTAGCTGACCTGTTTGAGTATCAGTGTTATGAAGTTCCCATGGTAGCTGAATGGTTTGAGAAGAGGAATGGAGAAGGATTACTAATAATCTTTGATGGTTGGGATGAACTACGTGAACAACTCAGACAGTCTTCATTAGCTGCTAGTATCATTTATAGAAAGCAGTTAAACAAATGTTCAGTAATTGTTACCTCTCGTAGCTATGCCTCCTCTTCACTTTTGAAAATGGATACTCTCAGTAGACATGTTCAGGTCATTGGGTTTTCAGAAGAAGAAATATCAAAAGTAATTATACAAACACTTCAAAAAGATGCAAAACTAGCACAAGAACTCATTGATGAAATCACAGCATTGAGTATTTACAAATCACATTTCACAACTACTCAAAGCAGTAAGGATTCACAACGAGCAGTGAAACTCATTAATGATCTTAAAGTACGAAATGATGTCCAATCATTGTGTTATGTACCACTAGTCTGTTCCATGGTCATCTTAGTTTATTGTAAGGAAAGAGGACACTTACCAACAACACTCACTCAACTCTATGAGAACTTTATCCTACAAACTATCAGAAGACATGTTAAAAGACATGGCATTAACCCACATACTTTAGGTAGTCTTTCTTCATTACCATCACAATTAGCTAAACCTTTACAAGAGATGTGTCAATTAGCTTATACTAACCTGGCTAATACAAGAATGACATTCTCTTCACATCAACTACAGTCACTGAGTGAGGCAGTCAAGAAAGACTATCTTGGATTGATGACAAGATTCACAGAATATGATGAGGAGAAGTATCAGTTCCTTCACTTGAGTATACAGGAATTTCTAGCTGCATGGTGGATAGCTAAGTATGAGAAGAAGAGAGAGGAAGTGTTTAAGGATCACTTTGATGATGATCACTTTCGAATGTGTCTGAGGTTTGTAGCAGGTCTAACTCGACTTGAACATAAGAGCTATGAACAGTATTTTAATAAACAAGAACTTGACTTACAGTGTAAGAGGAAACCATTGTTTGTATTTGAGACTTGTCATCTCTCCTACTTCTATCAGAATCCTGAGATTAGACTATATGATCATATCAGATCTGATGATTATGACAATGTTCCCATTCTTCTTTTTCAACTCCTGTATGAATCACAGAACACAACATTATGTCAAGTATTAGCACGATCCATCAACAACCACTCACTGTGTCTGGATAAATATGCATATTCATTATCATTGTTTGACTGGTTGTGTCTCAGTTATTGTATAAACAATTATAACACAACATGGAATCACTTGCACCTGGGGATTGTATCTAACGAGGAACTATCAGTCTTCACTGCTGGACTAACCAATAACTCACTACAGACCCAGTGTAAGAGACTGGAGGTAGAGTTGTTTTTGCCCACTGATGAATTAATACACAAATTATTACAATCATCACTTCTATACAATATTCAGGAATGCTACTGTGAATTAAGGAATGGTCCATATGTTCCCTGTCTTGTATTGTTACAGTTCCTCAATCTTGCTCAATTGAAGATACTGCACTTAAAAATGGACAGTCCTACTATACCAACAGTTGACAATACATACCACACAGACAAGTGCACTGAACTTGAGAAATGTATAGAAATGAATTCAACACTACAAGAAATGAATTCAACACTACAAGAAATGAAGATGGAGTCTCAAGGAATTAATAAAATAACAAGTACCATTATCAGTGTCATTAGAGGAGTAACAAGAAATAAAACAATAACATCATTAACAATAAATATTGCTTTTTATTTTATTTCTCCTCCTCCTCTACCTCATGGAGTAATAGAGCAGTTGCTAAAGGACAACAACACATTACAAGCTCTTTCACTGGACATACGTGATGAACTCCTACCATCATCACTGAATATAGTAAAGGTGAACACACCACTGACTGCTCTAGAGATAGGAGGAGAAGGATGGTGGAGTAGTAAACTGATGGCATCATCACTTCTTCCACATATCAATGGATTACACTGTCTGATACTACATTATCCATACTCACCACATCTTTTATTTCTCTCTCATCCCAGTCTACATACACTTACTTTACCACTAGACACAGCTGAGAGTGCTATTGAACTATTTACTATTCTACAAACCAATATTACACTTAAAGCTCTAAGTGTGAAGATAGAGGAAGAGAGAGTATATACCAGCAGTATGGGTACTAGTCTACAAGACATGCTAACACAAAACCAAACACTGAAATACCTTGAGATTAGTAGTTACCAGGGTACTTTTTTACAAATTGACATTCCCATTCCCAGTTCATTCCTGTCCTTCCTAAAAACTGGTCTCAGACACAACACCAGTCTACAGCAGTTGAGTGTATCCATTCCACCGAATGAAGAGATAAGAACTTTTATTAATGTCATCTCTCAAAAGAACAATCTCACAGAACTTAAAGTGAACTTCAAACTAGATCAGTCATACAGTAACTGTAGTGAGGAAGGGAAGAAACAAATAATGACACCATTGTTTTATGAACAGGTACTACCTGCTGTTACTAACATGTTACAGTCACATATAACCATCAGACTACTGAGGATAGAGTGTAGTGATATTAATTACGAGTCATCTCAGCCTAACTGGATAGAACTAGTACAACATTTATATGAAACTATCTTCATCCATCCATCACTTGAATATATTGAGATTTATACTAATGGCACTCTTCCTCTCCTTGTGGATACTCTTAAAGATCAAAAGAAGACATTGATTGATAGACACAGAAAAGAACAACGACACAAACCACTACCAATAGTGAAATTTGAATAAATAAATGTAATGCCTAATAATCATGATTTAGTTTATTAAAGCATTGTAGACTGTAGTGAAGATTAGTTCATTTATTTCGGTACTGAGAATTTTTTGTCTTTAAGCACGTGATTAAAAATTACGGAGTACATTTACGGTTTAGATCACTGTCCTAATAACCCCGCCCATTAATAAACAGTTAAAATGGTTCCTGTACTATCATCAGTCAGTAATGGTCCTTTGGTCTATTTCTTCTTGTTCTCTCTTTATCTGATATCAACCAGTAACTGTCAATATACGGATTATACAAAGTAACCTTTTAATAACCAATAATGATTCTCTCTCTCTCTCTCTCTCTCTCTCCTCCATTAGTGGTTATATTCCATCAGTTCCTCCATTATCAGATGATGATATTAACTATCCAACAGTTTCAACAATATCTTCTTCAATGCCCCGCCCCCTCTCCTCATCCCCCTCCTCCTCCCTCTCTCCTTATATCCCTCCTCCTCCCTCTTCCATCATCAACACACGGGGGGATCTCCCCTCTGTTACTATCACAACCAGTAGCGTCCCCCTCTCCCCTCCTATTACCAGTACTAACTCTTCAACCAGTAGCAGTGGGTCCAGTGATTCTCCTCCATTATCTTATGTATCAACTTCTTCAACTCATTCACTATCTTCTACTGCCCCGCCCACACTAATTACCACCAGTAGTTATTCATCAGTTAACGCTACTGCTAGTAAGCTCCACCCATCAAGTTCCATGCCCACTTCCTCATCAAGTGCCATGCCCACTCTCCCTCCTCCCACTACTGGTACTACAGAGGGGGTACCTCCCACGGGACCACCAGAAGAGGAGGAGTCACTCACTAGTATATCAATATTTTTTATATTGGTCCTATTAGGTGGGCACTAATTAGAATATAGTGGGCATTAATTAGAATTATTATTATTATTATTAATAGGTTTGTCGGTGGTGATGGTTCATTTATTAATTAAAATGGAGTTCCACTATCTTCCAGAGAGTATAGCCTTTGTCATACTGGGTAAGGAGAGAGAGAGAGAGCAGTTATTAGTATTGATAATGTTGTTGTTGTTGTTGTTGTTGTTGTTGTTGTTGTTGTTAGGGTTCCTTGTTGGTGGTGGTATGTTTATCTTTACTTATTTCATTGGTGGCCATGACTACAGAGTAAGTCTTCTCCATACATTCCACACACTCCACAATATTAACTGAACCAATGACCATCAACTATTGGACCAACCCTTACTCTAAATGACTAGGAGAGAATCCTCCATTATTAATACACATTCCCTGATACTCACGTACGGTGTATATATATTATCATTGTGTTATTGTGTAGGGTCATGAAACACTCCACCCTCAGTTCTTCTTTCTTGTTCTTCTCCCTCCAATAATATTTGAATCAGGATACTCACTACATAAGGTAATCTACATGTATTATTAATTATTAATTATTATTATTATTATTATTATTTCTGTTTATTTTAGGGTAATTTCTTTCAGAATTTAGGGTCCATCGTTATATTTGCAGTACTGGGTACTGCCATTAGTGCAGTGATAGTGGGAGGGGGCCTGTATCTATTGGGAGTGGTCAGTATTATACATATTAATACATACAGTATTGAGACTATGTAACTAATGGTACATGTACTTGTACATATTGATGTACTTATGCTGTGTAGAAAGTTTGAGCTGATTACGACTTCAATTTTTTAAGTTACGGCCATTTTAAGAAAATACCAGAATTCTGAAAAATACCCAAGGCTATAGCCCATGGTTTTTTCCAAAAAATGACTCCGAAATCACCCCAAATTTTTATTACATTTTCTGATACATATTGATGTCCTTATGCTGTGTAGAAAGTTTGAGCTGATTCCGACTTTAATTTTTAAAATTACGGCCATTTTAAGAAAACGTCAAAATTCTGAAAAATACCCAAGGCTATAGCCCATGGTTTTTCCAAAAAATGACTCCGAAATCACCCCAAATTTTTATTACATTTTCTGACACATATTGATGCCCTTATGCTGTGTAGTTACGGCCATTTTAAGAAAATGCCCAAAATCCAAAAAATGCCCAAGGCTATAGCCCATGGTTTTTTCCAAAAAATGACTCCGAAATCACCCCAAATTTTTATTACATTTTCTGATACATATTGATGTCCTTATGCTGTGTAGAAAGTTTGAGCTGATTCCGACTTTAATTTTTAAAATTACGGCCATTTTAAGAAAACGCCAAAATTCTGAAAAATACCCAAGGCTATAGTCCATGGTTTTTTCCAAAAATGGCTCCGAAATCACCCCAAATTTTTATTACATTTTTTGATACATATTGATGTACTTATGCTGTGTAGAAAGTTTGAGTTGATTCCAACTTCAATTTTTCAAGTTACGGCCATTTAAAGAAAACGCCGAAATTCTCAAAAATACCCAAGGCTATATAGCCCATGGTTTTTTTGAAAAAATGGCTCTGAAATCACCCCAAATTTTTATCACGTTTCCTGATACATATTGATGTACATTATTATTATTATTATTATTATTCATTATTATTATTATTATTATTATTATTATTATTATTATTATTATTATTATTATTATTATTATTATTATTATTATTATTATTCATTATTATTATTAGATGGGTGTCATATATAAACTGGACCTCATCCAAAGGTACATTAATATACAATACATTATTATACATTATATTCTCTTTCAGTTTCACTTTTGGTTCGTTGATATCAGCAGTTGATCCAGTAGCTACACTGGCCATATTCCATGCCCTTCATGTAGACCCAACACTTAACATGTTAGTCTTTGGAGAATCAGTTCTTAATGATGCTGTCTCTATTGTTCTTACTAAGTAAGAGAATATAATTTATTATTATTATTATTAATGTGTGGTTGTGCTTTAATTAGAACTATATTGAATCAGTTACCTAAAGATGATCCAGTGGGCGGGGCTGATGATGTCACTGCCGCTAAGATACTGGGTAACTCCTCCTGGGAATTCTGTGTCATGTCCTTTGGGTCGGCACTACTGGGCGTGGTCTTTGCTTTATTCAGTGCACTGGTGAGTGGGCGGATATACATGTACATGTACCGTATAAGTGGTTTATTGAGGGAATTATATTTCATGAAATATACTTAAATTTCAATTTGTGGATTTTATTTTTGCGAATCATTAAGGAATTTGTAAAATTTGCAAACTCTTGAGAAAGAATCACATAACCACTTCTACGGTATACATATACATGTACTTGTACTTGTGTAAGAGAAATTGCTCAAATCAACCACTTTACTTAATAAGTTTATGCTATAAATAATTACATGTATTTAATATTTACATTATTTATTTATTTGTTTCTAGTTCTTAAAGTTGGTTAATCTGAGGCGTCACCAGTCCCTTGAGTTCTGCATGTGGGTTATATTTGCTTTTGCTCCTTATTTCCTAGCGGAGGGACTCCACCTCTCCGGGATAATGGCTATACTCTTCTGTGGTATAGTAATGTCTCATTACACTCATCACAACCTCTCTGCTGTCACTCAAATCACTGTACAGCAAGCACTGAGGACTGTCTCCTTCATGGCAGGTACTGCTACTGCTACATGTACTGTACTGGTTTTATTGTTGAGGTATTGTGTGGTGGAGTAGAGTTTGTTGAACTGAGGTTTGTTTGCTATTTAGTCTTCCATTTGATAAAGCTTTGTAGCAGCATGGTCATGGTCAAAATTTAGTCTAAATCTTAATCTTTTACAGTCAATTCACCAAATCCTAGCATTCATTATTATCAATAGTTGTACAATATTCATTATTTACCGTATAGCGCAAGATTTTTTAGGGTTGTAAATTTCGCAAATTTGCCTAAAAATCTATTTTGTAAATTTAATTTTTTGTGAATTTATGCCATCTGCCATCTTTTACTGTAATAATTTGATTTTTGCGGATCTTTAAAATTTGTGAAATCCACGAAATTTATAGGCCTCAAAAATTTTACCCTATACAGTTTATTCCTGTCTCTATGTTCTCACTTCTCATTACCACTAAGTACTGTATATTGTATATGTTATATTATATTATATTATTATATTCTTTCTACTGTCCATTATTCTACAGAGACTGGTGTGTTCCTGTACCTAGGACTAGCAGTATTCACTATTAATAAATACTTTGACCTGGCCCTCATAATATGGAGTGTGGTACTGATACTGGCAGGAAGAGCTGCTAATATATTCCCATTGACTGCTCTGGTCAACTGCTGCAGGTCTATTAAGATCAGCATCAGGATGCAGTGTATCATGTGGTACTCAGGTATGTGGAGCCACACCCACTAATTAATGTAATAACCACACCCACTAATTAAAAGTTACGGAAAATGGTCAATTAACTTTTAAAATTTGTAAAAAGAATCCAAATTTGATTGTAACAGCTCAAACTTTCTACACGTACATGTATATGCATCAGAAAATGTAATTAAAATGGAGAGTTTTTAACTTCTCATTTTTGGCAAAATTTGGTCAAAGTCCCAGGAAATGTAATAAAATTTATCTCCCCTTTAGTTATTATATTCTTTTCTTTCATTCCAGGTCTAAGAGGTGCAGTGGCATTTGCACTAGCTGAGAACTTAAAAGATTATTTCAACAAAGAAGTGACAGGGTACATAGTAACCACGACACTAGTGATTGTACTGTTCACTATTGTAATACTGGGGGGATCAACACTCCCGCTACTTAAGGTAATGAGGGGGTGGGGCCAGGGGTGTGGTTTATATATATCTCCTATATAGTTTTTAAAGGCAGATGAAGGAGCTAAACTAACATTAAGTAAAACAGAGGAACAGGTAATGGAGTGACTTTTAACTGTATTGGAGATCCACATGTAGTTTCAATATTTATTAATGAGTGATTATTAATTAAGAGCTATTTATTAAGTGGTAGTTATTAAGTTTTGATTATTAATTAGTAGTTATTAAAGTTACTAGTTATTAGTTTCTGGTTATTAATTATTATCAGTTACTAGTTATTAAGTAGTAGTTATTAATTATTAGTTAGTTATGAAGTCCTAGTTATTAATTACTGGTTATTAATAGGATACAGCTATTAGTATGTCCTCTCCAGTCAATGAGAGGTTCATGATGTCTCCTCGTGTGTACAATCGACTGAGGAACTGCTCACAATGGTTCATGTTTATTGACTACAGGTGGGTGTGGCTAATAGTTATTAATAGTTATTAACTGTGTTTTAGGTATATTAGACCATTTTTCATCAGACGCTTCACAAAAGAGGTAATAATACATGAATAGCTGATCTAGTAATTTATCAGTATACTCTAGTATATTCTAGTAATTTATCAGTAATCTATCTGTATGCTAATTATGCTTTATATTGGTAGATATAGTGTTTATTGATTGTATTATAAAGTTCACTTCATAGTTTAAATACAATGTTCATTATTTATTTATTTATTTATTTATTTCTCTCTACCTCCAGGAGGTGAAGGCCTCCCAGTTTGACATGCAGCAGAAGACAGTTGAGTGGTACCAAGGACTGAGGAATGACTCACTCTCTGATCATGATGAGATTCATGAGACCACTGCTGGAGAAGAGGAGAGTACTGTATCTACACTGCTATCATAATAACTACTGCACTACCTCCTCATTACATGTATCAGTATCAGTATTATTATTATTATTATTATTATTATTATTATTATTATTATTATTATTATTATTATTATTATTGTATTATTTAATGTCTTCTGTGTTCACTTCTCTCTCTCTCTTTCATTGTTATTTAGTACAAGGTACCGTGTTCTTAATCATCATTATTATAATTTTTGTTATTATTTTCATTATTTTGAGATTATTGTATTATTCTTGTCCAGTCAGTTTGAATTCATCTTTAAATCACACAATTAATTTAATTTTATTACTAATAATTATTTATGATTCAAGAACTACTTGCAAAAGTAGCCACTTTATTTTTGAGGTAATTAGTCTCAGACTGTCCCACCTACAGTAATCGGAATTGGTTTACCCCAATGACTGTGGGTGGTACTACAAACTATAAAGACGAGTTTAACAAAAAAATTAAATCTAAATCATGCATTACAAGTGATTTAATAAAGTCTCACTATTGGTAGTGGTTTGTGTGGTTGTTCTTTTCTATGTCTATCAATCAATGTCTTCTTTTGATCTTTAAGAGTATCCACCAGAAGAGAAATGTATTCAGTATTAATCTCAATATATTCAAGTGATGGATGGATGAAGATAGTTTCATATAAATGTTGTACTAGTTCCATCCAGTTAGGTTGAGATGACTCTTTATTAACATCTCTACACTCTATCCTCAGTAGTTTGATGGCTGTATGTGACTGTAACATCTTAGTAACAGCAGGTAGTACCTGTTCATAAAACAATGGTGTCATTATTTGTTTCTTCTCTTCCTCACTACAGTTACTGTATGACTGATCTGGTTTGAAGTTCACTTTAAGTTCTGTGAGATTGTTCTTTTGAGAGATGACATTAATAAAAGTTCTTATCTCTTCATTCAGTGGAATGGATACACTCAACCGCTGTAGACTGGTGTTGTGTCTGAGACCAGTTGTTAGGAAGGACAGGAATGAACTGGGAATGTCATCATTAATCTCAAGGTATTTCAGTGTTTGGTTTTGTGTTAGCATGTCTTGTAGACTAGTACCCATACTGCTGGTATATACTCTCTCCTCCTGTATCTCTACACTCAGAGCTTTAAGTGTAGTATTGGTTTGTAGAATAGTAAATAGTTCAATAGCACTTTCAGCTGTGTCTAGTGGTAAAGTAAGTGTACGTAGACTGGGATGAGAGAGAAATAGAAGATGTGGTGGGTATGGATCATGTAGTATCAGACAGTGTAATCCTTTAATATGTGGAAGGAGTGATGATGTCATTAGTTCACTACTCCATCCTCCTATCTCTAGAGCAGTCAGTGGTGTGTTCACCTCTACTATATTCAGTGATGATGGTAGGAGTTCATCAGGCCGCATGTCCAGTGAAAGAGCTTGTAATGTGTTGTTGTCCTTTAGTAACTGCTCTATTACTCCATCAGGTAGAGGAGGAGGAGGAGCAAAATTTACATGTATTGTTAATGATGTTATTGTTTTATTTCTTGTTACTCCTCTAATGACACTGATAATGGTACTTGTTATTTCATTCTCTTCATTATACTCAATCTTCATTTCTTGTAGTGTTGAATGCATTTCTATACATTTCTCAAGTTCAGTGCACTTGTCTATGTAGTATGTATTGTCAACTGTTGGTATAGTATGATGGTCCATTTTTAAGTGCAGTATCTTCAATTGAGGAAGATTGAGGAACTGTAACAATACAAGACAGGGAACGCATTGGCCATAATATAATCCACAGTCGCACTCCTGAATATTGTATAGAAGTGATGGTTGTAATAATTTGTGTATTAATTCATCAGTGGGTCGACCCAACACTACCTCCAGTCTCTTACACTGGGTCTGTAGTGAGTTATTGGTTAGTCCAGCAGTGAAGACTGAAAGTGACTGGTTAGATACAATCCCCAGGTGCAAGTGATTCCATGTTGTGTTGGAATTGTTTATACAATAACTGAGACACAACCAGTCAAACAATGATATTGATAATGATACTCTATCCAGACACAGTGAGTGGTTGTTGATGGATTGTGCTAATACTTGACATAATGTTGTGTTCTGTGATTCATACAGGAGTTGAACAAGATGAGTGGGAACATTGTCAAAATCATCAGCCTGAGATTTAATATGATAAAATCGTTTAATCTCAGGATTCTGATAGAAGTAAGAGAGATGACAAGTCTCAAATCCAAACAATCGTTTCCTCTTACACTGTAAGTCAAGTTGTTGTTTATTAAAATACTGTTGATAGCTCTCATGTTCAAGGTGAGTTAGACCTGCTACAAACCTCAGACACATTCGAAAGTGATCATCATCAAAGTGATCCTTAAACACTTCCTCTCTCTTCTCATGCTTAGCTATCCACCATGCAGCTAGAAATTCCTGTATACTCAAGTGAAGGAACTGATACTTCTCCTCATCATATTCTTTGAATTTTGTCATCAATCCAAGATAGTCTTCCTTGACTGCCTCACTCAGTGACTGTAGTTGATGTGAAGAGAATGTCATTCTTGTATTAGCCAGGTTAGTATAAGCTAATTGACACATCTCTTGTAAAGGTTTAGCGAATTGTGATGGTAATGAAGAAAGACTACCTAAAGTATGTGGGTTAATGTCATGTCTTTTAACATGTCTTCTGATAGTTTGTAGGATAAAGTTCTCATAGAGTTGAGTGAGTGTTGTTGGTAAGTGTCCTCCTTCCTTACAATAAACTAAGATGACCATGGAACAGACTAGTGGTACATAACACAATGATTGGACATCATTTCGTACTTCAAGATCATTAATGAGTTTCACTGCTAGCTGTGAGTCCTCACTGCTTTGAGTTGTTGTGAAAGGTTTGCCATTTTCATCATCTTCTTTTTTCCTATTAATGAGTTCTTTTGCTAATTTTGTATCTTTTTGAAGTGTTTGTATAATTACTGTTGATATTTCTTCCTTAGAAAACCCAATGACCTGAACATGTCTACTGAGATTAGACATGATTTCTAAAAGTGAAGAGGAGGCGTAGCTACGAGAGGTAACCAATTACTGAACATTTGTTTAACTGCTTTCTATGAATGATACTAGCAGCTAATGAAGACAGTCTGAGTTGTTCACTTAGTTCATCCCAGCCATCAAAGATTATCAGTAATCCTTCTCCATTCCTCTTCTCAAACCATTCAGCTACCATCGGAACTTCATGATATTTGTACACAAACAGGTCAGCTAGTGTAGTAGCTGTAGCTATCTTGCTATTCCTTAAAGGACAGTAAAGTACCAACTCATACTGTTGGTGTACAAGTGGTCCATTAGACCACATATTTAACAGTTTACGACAGAGTGTGGTCTTCCCAATACCAGGAGGACCATCTATTACTACTCTGAGAGACAGAGAACTATCTGTGGGTTTGAGGACATCTTCAACACTTATCTCTTTGTTTTCAGTTAGTTTAACTGTTTTATCAACTTGTCCTCTTAGCAGATGCCAAGCTGATTCTGCTTGTGTGGTGGAGTCTTGTTTTTCTACTAGTGCTAGTCTTCCAAAGAAATCTTTTCCAATTCTTGGTGGCCAGTCTGTAGCTACAATAGGTTGGTGTTTGTAGTGTTGTCTCATATTGTCAACATATCCTTGAACATCATCAGGTATTGAATTAATGGGTTTAGCTACATCAGACTGACCTATTGATCAAGATACATAAAAACAATGTATACACATTAAATAATTTATTACCTCTTATATTAGTAACTGGTGTATTGGATATATCATCAACTGGTGATGGTAGTACAGTATGTGAACTGACATTATCAGGTATAGACTGACCTAATGTATTGAGATATAATGACTATATTGATCACTGATAATGTACACACACTCACTCACCTAACTGGTATAATATAGAGGTAGCAATATTTGTTAGTGTAGGATGTTGTTGGTTTATTAATACATGACATATATCAATAAGATACTGCTCTGGATTAAGAGAGGATTCCAAATGTCGTTGTTTCACAGATACTAATTGACTTGATTTCCCATAATCAGGTATTCCTGTTACTGTTTGTATATTCTCTTTAGTATCCATTGGTATCAGTTCTTCAGCATACAGTGCATCAGTTACTCTGTAAAGGTTAGTAGTAATAGCATCAGTGAGTTTAACAGAATGAGTCCTTAATATATCCTTTGGATTACCTGCAGTAGTGTATCAGTTAATGAGTGTTGTATTAAGTGTATGTTTACCTGATGTAGTACTAGTAACAGGTTTATTAATTACAGAAACTGATGATGATACAGTAGATACTACTGGTACAGTACTAGTAGGAGCATCAGTATTACCTATTATACATTTAATATAATTATTAATATATAAATACATGATCATACCTCCTGTACATTGATGTACTTGTAACTGATCATTAATAGTTTGTAATAAATTGATCTCTTCTCTTTTAGTCAATGCATTGAGTACATCTCTCCATGTTGCTGTAGGATCTGTGTTCAACCATTTCGTAAATAAAGCTAGTTTTTGATGTTCAGTATCCACTTGTTCTATTACTGAAATTTCATGTTGTGTTATTCCAGGTAAGAGAAGACCAAATGATTGCCAGTCAACAAGTGGTTCAAGCCATTGAAGCAATAGGAAAATATCAGGTTGATCATCAATCATAGGACCAGGATTGAGTTCAACATCTCCTGATAAGAGGAGGAGGAGAAGTAAAACTAAATAGTAGATAAGGTCAGAGCTACTCCCAATAGTAGCTATAAACAAGACTAATGACTGGAGGCAGTGGATCATAACAGTAACAGTAATTATACCTATTGTAAATACACTGTATGATAATATTATATACTGTTAGTTTGTTTACCAGTTGGAGGAATAAAATTGAGCTTCATATATCTTAATAAAGATAAAAGAAGAGAAACAATAAGAGATAGAGCTGCTGGCAGTTTAGATGTCTTCTCTCCTGATGTAGTACTGCCTGACTTGCTGTCTACTGCAGCTTTGAATGAGTGAGAGTGGCGGCCATTAGCTGGTCTACTGGAGGCAGCTTGACAGTAGTTCCACAGTCCAATACTTGCTCTCCATTGAGAGACATCAATCATCTTGTAATTATTAGTAAAGTATAATTAAAATGAACTATAATATACTTACCTCTATCACTGTTAATGATCAACTGTTGTAAGATAAAGAAATGAAAAGATACAGTCAAAAGTACAAGCCAGAGGTACAAAATTATGCTGCAGTTGCAAAGAGGGCGTGGCTCATTAACTACAAGCTCCACCCACAAACCTAACTAGCCACACCTCCTGATTACTTTAGAGATTTGAGGTAACATAGTTTGTGGTAGTTTTTCTTTATAATTATTATCTTTTCAATCAGTTATTGATCTTATATTGTCCTTTAGGTACTTTATAGTCTGTGTATTAGTGTATCAGCACCGTATATACTCGTATTGAATCAGTTGGCATGGTAACTGATAAATAAAGGTGTGGTCTAGAGTGAGTCTCATTCTATAGGTATTGGATGATGTCAGTACAGGGAGGATCACGTGATAGGTCACATGACTTGATATCAACTGCCGTTCCTCGTGTGAATGGGTGGGAGTGTCCCTGGCACCCACTGTACTTAACTTCAAGTGAGAAACCACACCCACTAATGATTGCGTAATATTTATTAGTGTTTTAATGGAAAAGGTATTTTTTTTTAATGATACTTATCTTCCAATTATTTGTGAACTAATGAATAAAATTGAACTGATTCTATTTTAAAATTTCTGAGTTGTAGCCATTTTAAAATTAGCCATTTTTTGAAAAATACCCAAGGCGAAATCACCCCAATTTTTATTACATTTTCTGATACGTATTGATGTCCTTATGCTGTGTAGAAAGTTTGAACTGATTTTGACTTCAATTTTTCAAGTTATGACCATTTTAAGAAAATGCCCAAAATCTGAAAAATACCCAAGGCTATAGCCCATGGTTTTTTCCAAAAAATTGCTCCAAAATCATCCCAAATTTTTATCACATTTCCTGATACATATTGATGTACATTATTATTATTATTATTATTATTATTATTATTATTATTATTATTATTATTATTATTATTATTATTATTATTATTATTATTATTATTATTATTATTATTATTATTATTATTATTATTATTATTATTATTATTATTATTATTATTATTATTATTATTATTATTATTAGATGGGTGTCATATATAAGCTGGACCTCATCCAAAGGTACATTAATATACAATACATTATTATACATTATATTCTCTTTCAGTTTCACTTTTGGTTCGTTGATATCAGCAGTTGATCCAGTAGCTACACTGGCCATATTCCATGCCCTTCATGTAGACCCAACACTTAACATGTTAGTCTTTGGAGAATCAGTTCTTAATGATGCTGTCTCTATTGTTCTTACTAAGTAAGAGAATATAATTTATTATTATTATTATTAATGTGTGGTTGTGCTTTAATTAGAACTATATTAAATCAGTTACCT